CGGAATCGTAGGCCTTCCGTAAGTCCATCTTGATCAAGCACCGGGGGGAAATCTGTTTGCGCTCATAACCCCTCATAAGTTGCTCCACCATGTGAATATTATCTGTTATGGATCGCCCATTCACAAAAGCAGATTGGGCTCGATCAATAATAGAGGGCAGCACCTTCTCAATTCTCTTCGTAATAACCTTCGCAATTACCTTTTAAATGTCATTACAACAAGCAATTGGCCGAAAGTCACCCACAGTTGCAGCCTGGGCTGATTTTGGTATGAAAACCTAGACCGTGTTATCCCATTGTTTGAGCAACTCACCACTTCGAAAGAACTCCAAAACTGCCTCCGTAAGGAGGGGTCCCACGGTCGACCATGCGGCTTTGAAGAAAAGGGCCGTGTACCCATCCGGCCCCGGAGCCTTATCATCGGCAATATCAAAAAGAGCTTCACGAACCTCCACCCCCGTCACTGGTTGGATCAATCCATCACGATCATCTACTCCAAGCACCGGTCCCGTGGCGATGAGGATCGACCGGTTCACAAGGAGTACGAGTACCCAAGAAATTCCTATAAAACATCTCGATTCCGCAAAAACCTCGTCCCTAGAGGTAGTGACCGAACCATCTTCCCTACGTGGCGAGACAATATTATTTTGCTTTGCATTCCTTTTTGCAATCCCATGGAAGAATTTCGTCGTGCAGTCCGAGTCGCGTAAGTGGTGAAGTTTCGCCTTTTGGTAGAAAAAACATTTTTCTTCTTTCGCCAAGAACCGAAATTTCTGCACTTTGGCCAACATCTCCCCACAAAGTTGTTGATTATGGGGATCGTTGTGGTAGATTTGCTGAATTTCCTCAGGCTCTCCTCCCGCCCGCTTAACCCGTTCGGAAATATGGCCAAATTCACGTCGATTGAAGCGCTTAAGTGGGTGCTTAAGGGCCATGAGGTTTTTGCAAACGGCCCATTGGCGGCTGCCCCGATAATTGGCCGTCCATACCTCCTTCACTTCACGTTGAAAATCGTCGTGCTGGGTCCACATATTAAAGAACCGAAAAGGGCGAGATGCCGAAGGTTCGGTCCTACCCAATTTCACGATAACCGGAGAGTGGTCCCACACTGCCCCAAATGGAAGGAATTGTGCCGAACTTCCCTCAAATTCGTCGCGCCATGTTTGATTTGCAAGCGCACGGTCAAGCTTGCTCCACACCGTTTGGTTCGTCCATGTGTAGTGAAAGCCCGTTGAGGGTAGATCCTCCAGTCCATTCTGACGGAAGCACGTTTGTATATCATCCAGCAAGTAAGGGGTAGGCAAGTTGCCTCCCGATTTCTCCTCGGGCTTGAGTACCACATTAAAATCTCCCAAGCAAAGCCATGGATCGGTGACGCCCGTTCCAAACTCCCCTAGCGATTGACACAACGGCCGTCTCGTAACCGGCGTGAAAAGTCCATACACGAAACTTACATAGCATAGCCGCTGAGTGATCATACATGTTACCTTGCAATGGACCACCTGCGACGTCATATCGATAACTTCCACCCGAGCCACGTCCGGGTTCCATAAAATGAGAATCCGGCCTGCCGTGTGGAGGTGAAAGTTGTTGATGTTTTGCCAATGCCAGAACCGCCGATCCATGATAGAGTTTAGCGTTCCCGGGTCCCAGATCTTTGTTTCCAATAAACCACAAACCGCGAGTTTGTGCTTCCCAATGAGGTCCACGACCTCCGTCTGCGTGAGGGCGTTAAGCAACCCCCTCACATTCCAACATCCCAATATCATGTCGACCGTGGGGGTTTGAGGCCCCCCCCCCCCCCCGTGGCTCCACATCGTCACATTCCTCACGTACTAACTTCGTCTCAATTGCTACCACCGAACTTGATTCGCTCTCTTTGGGCATCAGGATCGCATCCGGTGGAAGAAATTTCTTTTTTGTAGTGATCCTCGTCTTGGGGGCTGTTCCCGGGGATTTTGGGGAGTCTATGGCATTAAACTCCACCAATGAGCCCCGGTCCTCATCATCCACAACGTAGCACTCGGTCGATCCATCCTCCGAAACTCCATCCTCCACATTCACGGTTTCCATCTCCTTTTCCAGCTCCGGATCCTCGCCGAGTACCGTCATTTTGCCCGCCCATACCGTTTTCACCGGTGGATCTTGTGCAACACTCACCACCGGTTTAGGCTTACGGCCTCGCCCACGCTTCAGCACCACCTCTGCTCTACACTGATCCGTCTTATGCGT